AATGCAATGGTAGCAAGAAAGACAAAAATAGGACTGACCACTGGGTTTGGTCAGATGATTGTTTAATAAGCAAAAAGTCTACCACCAGTGGAGAGTGGGGCCAGAAGTCAGATTATAGTGAAATATAAGTGGTCGTGTTGCATAAAGCATCAGTATTTTCTTTCCTCCTTTCCTTCCTTCCTTCTTTCTTTCTTTCCTTTCTTTTTTTGAGACAGAGTTTCACTCTTGTTGCCCAGGCTGGAGTGCAATGGCCCGATCTTGGCTCACTGCAACCTTCGCCTCCCGGATTCAAGCAATTCTCCTGCCTCAGCCTCCCGAGTAGCTGGGATTACAGGCACCCACCACCACACCCGCCTAATTTTTGTATTTTTAGTAGAGATAGGGTTTTACCAAGTGGACCAGGCTGGTCTCGAACTGATGTCAGGTGATCCACCTGCTTTGGCCTCCCAAAGTGCTGGGATTACAGATGTTAGCCTCCAAGCCTGGCCACATCAGTGTTTTGTTTTGTTTTGTTTTGTTTTGTTTTGAGACGAAGTCTCGTTCTGTCGCCCTGGTTGGAGTGCAATGGCACAATCTCGGCTCACTGTAACCTCCGCCTCCCGGGTTCAAATGATTCTCATGCCTCAGCCCAACGCTAGATTGGTTTTTCCGAGCCTGTGAAGTCCATGGAGTTGCCAGATAAGCGCAGTCCCGGTGGACCAACGCCCAGGACGGATGCTGTAGACGAACCCTATGCCAAGCCGCAGGCAGCGGTTCCGGACTCTGGGACTTAACCTAATGTGGCGGGGCGGGACTTCCGGCGGGAGGCTGACGCGGCGGCGGAGGCGCAGGCGCGGGCTGGCAGGTGTCGCTGACCGGACGGTGGTCGCTGGGGCGAGAAGCTGGAGCCGGAGAGGCGAGGCAGGACCCCGGCTCCACTGCCGCCTCTCCGAGCTCTCGCGACGCGGACCTCAGTGCCAGAATGGCTCGGGGCGAGCGGCGGCGCCGCGCAGTGCCGGCAGAGGGAGTGCGTACCGTCGAGAGGGCGGCTCGGGGAGGCCCCGGGCGACGGGACGGCCGGGGCGGCGGGCCGCGTAGCACGGCTGGAGGAGTGGCTCTGGCCGTCGTGGTCCTGTCTTTGGCCCTGGGCATGTCGGGGCGCTGGGTGCTGGCGTGGCACCGTGCGCGGCGGGCGGTCACGCTGCACTCCGCGCCTCCTGTGTTGCCTGCCGACTCCTCCAGCCCCGCCGTGGCCCCGGACCTCTTCTGGGGAACTTACCGCCCTCACGTCTACTTCGGCATGAAGACCCGCAGCCCGAAGCCACTCCTCACCGGTAACCGGGCCCCAGGGCGGGCAGGCAGGCGGACTCCTAATCTGGGCGCCCCAGCTTGAAGCCAGATCAAGGGTGGGGAGGAATGGATCAGGAGAGTTATGAAGAGGGATGACCCAGAGACCCGGAGGGACAGGTCCCCTGCTCGTTGACTTACGTGGCCATTCTACCCCCAGGACTGATGTGGGCGCAGCAGGGCACCACCCCGGGGACTCCTAAGCTCAGGCACACGTGTGAGCAGGGGGACGGTGTGGGTCCCTATGGCTGGGAGTTCCACGACGGCCTCTCCTTCGGGCGGCAGCACATCCAGGATGGGGCCTTAAAGCTCACCACTGAGTTCGTCAAGAGGCCTGGGGGTCAGCACGGAGGGGACTGGAGCTGGAGAGTGACTGTAGAGCCTCAGGTCAGGGCCTCAGGACACCCTTTTCTCAGCCCAGACCCCCTCTATCCTTCCCTTGCTGCCAGCAAATGCAGCATGAAGTGGGCTCTGGCTGCCTGGCTTAAATCCTGCCTTAAACAGCTGCCTCTATGAGCATCTCTAAGCCTTGATTTCCTTGCTTGTAAAATGTAAAATGTAGATAATAATAGCACCTAACTCACAGGACTGTAAGAATTAAATGAAAAAGAGGCTGGGCGCGGTGGCTCACGCCTGTAATCCCAGTACTCTGGGAGGCTGAGGCTGTCAGATCACCTGAGGTCGGGAGTTCCAGACCAGCCTGGCCAACATGGAGAAACTCCGTCTCTACTAAAAATACAAAATTAGCCGGGCATGGTGGCGCATGCCTGTAATCCAAGCTACTCGGGAGGCTGAGGCAGGAGAATTGCTTGAACCCAGGAGGTGGAGGTTTCACTGAGCCAAGATCGTGCCATTGCACTCCAGCCTGGGCAACAAGAGCGAAACTGTGTCTCAAAAAAAAAAAAAAAAAAAGAATTAAATGAAATAAACTGTGTAGATTTCTTAGTGTAGGACATAGTACAAAGTATACTGTTATCTTCCAGGGCACCCAGTGCAAGGCTCTTTATCTCATCCCACTTGGGTGTACCTGGTTACCCTCAGTGACCCTCAGTACTGCCAGATGTATGTTGTTTACATTACCCCTGCCTGCTGTTCCTTTCCCTCACTAAGGCTGATTCTCAAGAGAGAATGCCAGTCTAACACTGTTATTTTCTGTCCTCCTTGGTCACTTAGGCCTCAGGTACCTCTGCCATCCCTTTGGTCTCCCTGTTCTTCTATGTGGTGACAGATAGCAATGAAGTCCTAATACCGGAGGTTGGGTCCAAGGGGCAGTTGAAGTTCATCAGTGGGCACACCAGTGAACTTGGTGACTTCCGTTTTACACTTCTGCCACCAACTAGTCCAGGGGATACAGCCCCCAAGTATGGCAGGTAATTGGGGGAAGAGAATGTTCAGGGATGGAAGGGGTGGTTATTCCCATTTTCACCAGTCTCCATGTCCCCTGCCTGAGACCTCCCAACCTGACTCCTGAACATTTCGTATTTCTCTTTATAATGCCCACTGCCTTCTCTTGAATAATATTTCCTATTTATCTTCTCCCCTTCAAGCTACAATGTCTTCTGGACCTCCAACCCAGGACTGCCCCTGCTGACAGAGATGGTAAAGAGTCGCCTAAATAGCTGGTTTCAGCATCGGCCCCCAGGGGCCTCCCCTGAACGCTACCTCGGCTTGCCAGGATCTCTGAAGTGGGAGGACAGAGGCCCAAGTGGGCAAGGGCAGGGGCAGTTCTTGATACAGCAGGTGACCCTGAAAGTTCCCTTTTCCATAGAGTTTGTGTTTGAATCGGGCAGTGCCAAGGCAGGAGGAAATCAAGTCCTACCAAGACTGGCAGGCAGTCTACTGACCCATGCCCTGGAGAGCCATGCTGAGGCCTTTAGAGAGCGCTTTGAGAAGACCTTCCAGCTGAAGGAGAAGGGCCTGAGCCCTGGCGAGCAGGCTTTGGGTCAGGCTGCCCTCAGCAGCCTCCTTGGTGGAATTGGCTACTTCTATGGACAAGGACTGGTATTGCCAGACATGGGGGTGGAAGGGACTGAGCAGAAGGTGGACCCAGCCCTCTTTCCACCCCTACCTCTTTTTACAGCAGTGCCTTCCCGGTCATTCTTCCCACGAGGCTTCCTTTGGGATGAGGGCTTTCACCAGCTGGTGGTTCAGCGGTGGGATCCCTCCCTCACCCGGGAAGCCCTAGGCCACTGGCTGGGGCTGCTAAATGCTGATGGCTGGATTGGGAGGGAGCAGATACTGGGGGATGAGGCCCGAGCCCGGGTACCTCCAGAATTCCTAGTGCAACGAGCAGTCCATGCCAATCCCCCAACCCTACTTTTGCCTGTAGCCCATATGCTAGAGGTTGGTGACCCTGACGACTTGGCCTTCCTCCGAAAGGCCTTCCCCCGCCTGCATGCCTGGTTCTCCTGGCTCCATCAGAGCCAGGCAGGCCCAGTTCCACTATCTTACCGCTGGCGGGGACGGGACCCTGCCTTACCAACCTTACTGAACCCCAAGACCCTACCCTCTGGGCTGGATGACTATCCCCGGGCTTCACACCCTTCAGTCACCGAACGGCACCTGGACCTGCGATGTTGGGTGGCACTGGGTGCCCGTGTGCTGACGCAGCTGGCAGAGTATCTGGGTGAGGCTGAGGTAGCTGCTGAGCTGGGCCCACTGGCTGCCTCACTGGAGGCAGCAGAGAGCCTGGATGAGCTGCACTGGGCCCCAGAGCTAGGAGTCTTTGCAGACTTTGGGAACCACACAAAAGCAGTACAGCTGAAGCCCAGGCCCCCTCAGGGGCTGGTTCGGGTGGTGGGCTGGCCCCAACCTCGACTGCAGTATGTAGATGCCCTTGGCTATGTCAGTCTTTTTCCCTTGCTGCTGCGACTGCTGGACCCCAACTCATCCCGCCTTGGGCCCCTGCTGGACATTCTAGCTGATAGCCGCCATCTCTGGAGCCCCTTTGGTTTACGCTCCCTTGCAGCCTCCAGCTCCTTTTATGGCCAGCGCAATTCAGAGCATGATCCCCCCTACTGGCGGGGTGCTGTGTGGCTCAATGTCAACTACCTGGCTTTGGGAGCACTCCACCACTATGGGCATCTGGAGGGTCCTCACCAGGCTCGGGCTGCCAAACTCCACAGTGAGCTCCGTGCCAATGTGGTAGGCAATGTATGGCGCCAGTACCAGGCTACAGGCTTTCTCTGGGAGCAGTATAGTGACCGAGATGGGCGAGGCATGGGCTGCCGCCCTTTCCACGGCTGGACCAGCCTTGTCTTACTGGCCATGGCTGAAGACTACTGAAGGGAGGGAGAGGAGGGGAGCCAGGCCACTCATACCATTCTGGCTCTAGAGGGACAAAGGCTTCTGGCTTCTGCCCCCAGTCCCTTGGATACCAGTAATTCAAACCTTCCTCATTTCATCTCAGGTGTCTCCTTACTGTCATCCCACATAGCCCTGGGGTGAATGTGAATTCAGAGTCTATTTTTCTAAATAAATTGGAAAAAACATTTTGAACTCTATTGCTTTTGCCAGATTTGCCTCACCCAGAGGCCTTAGGTCAGTCCAGGCCTCAGGATTGTCTGCTGTCCTCAGGGAAGGTGGGGTCAAGTAGCCATAACCTGTCCCCTTCAAACCCAGTCAGGTCAAGTGCAATGCAGTGAGTTGAGCTTTAGTCCACCCAAATCCACAAGTGGCTGGTTCAAATCTCTTTAATGAGATCAAAGGCTCCTGTGTATATGTCTTGATGCCTTGCGGGGGTAAAGCTAGCACAATCCCCCAAATACTGCCCCTCTCCTCGGGGCTCCAGCCCTTTCGGGCAGATCTAGGTAGGCAGGAAGGGGCCAAAGGGAACGCAAGGAGGTGGGACTAGGGCTGTTTCTGGTGGGCAAGTAACCCACCCACCCTCTCAAAACTTACTTACGGGATGTCCCCTTCACTGGAGGACAGCCCCATGGGAGAGACCTGCGGTACAGAATCTGGGGGCAGTGCACAAGGGGAATAGTCCTCCAGATCTGGCAGGGTGGCACTAGCCCTCACCTCCTTGACTGGCTCACCCTCACCGGAGGCAGGACAAGGGCAGAGCTCAATACCGGAGTCACCAGTTAAACGGCGATAGCGACAGGAGGGGGGTGTGGGGGCAGGGCTCACCCCTGCCCCCGGCTCACCCTCCTGATGGGGGGGGGCACTCTGGTGGGAGGAAACACCTTCCACATTTGTTCCTTCGAAGTGGGCAGGGCAGCTGGATGAGGAGGAACACCAGGTTTGTTCGCTGGAAGCAGTCAAGGGGAGGCCTGGGGCCACAGTATAAGCGGGGGGTGGTGTGCCTGGGCGGTGAACCACATCCTCGTAGGCTGGGGGCTTGAAGGTGCTGAGGAGGCCTGCAGGGGAGAAAATTGGCATAATTCGTTGAAGGCAACCAGGTATAGGGTGCTAGCTTTTATATTAGGGAAAAATACTTTGAAATGTGTAGAAAAAGGAATGTCAGATGATTTGGGGTCCTGGTTCGGGGAGGGCCACTGGTAGTTGACCCAGAGCATCAAGTCACTCACGAAGGTCAAGCAGTGAACCGGTAGGGAAAGGACCAGCCCCATGGCATGCCCCATGGTAGGCCAACAAGTTGATTTCACGCTGCCGCTGCTGTTGTTGCAGCCGGAGTTTAGCTCGTCGGTGGCGGAAGGCGCAACAGCAGCTAAAGAGGATGAGGACAGTCCAGAGCAGCCAGAACCCTGCAAGAGGCAAGGAGGGAGCGACTCAGGCATCTTTCATGCAGAGAAGGGGCCCTGAAGGCCGAAATTCTGAGGTCCAAGGGAGGGTGGGCACAGGGACCTGGAAACAGCCCTCTTGGAGACTTACACCAGAGCTCATAGTAGTAGGTGCAGCAGCCAGTCTCCCCACAGCAGTGACCACTCTCACAGAGGTAGGGCTGGTTGTTCACTCCTGGGCACAGCTCTCGAAGCTGGGGGCAAGGAGGCACTTAGAACTAAGGGGGATTCCAGCACAGGGCACTGTCCACCCCCACCTCCTGCATGCACATACACAATCCCACCCTGTGAACCAAGTTCAGCTTGGAGAGATGGGGGAAGTGGAGGATGCTGAGAGGAGTGTTGAAATATCTGAAGGGCTGTCAACGTGGAAGAGGATTTGGAATAGCAAGAATCAGTCTAGAGAACAAGACAAAAGTGTGGACATACAAAGAGGGAGATTTCAGGTCTGCATATATAAGACTTCCTTCACACTCAAGCCTCACCCTCCCCAACCCCCCTACCCCCATCCCCCCGGTGCTTTCTGTTATGGGAGTGTTTTGGCAGAAGCCAGAAGACAGTCTGAGATAGTCTCAGACAACGGGTAGGGGAAGGTCATTTCCAAAGCAAGTTGCTTTCATTATCCTGCGCGGTTCACTACCCCCACCCCCAACTGGATCTTTCCACCCCTGGGCCTCAGGCTCCCTAGGACAGAGGAAGGGCAGTGTGAGACCCAGAGCAGTGCTCCCAACCAGATGGGAAGCTGTGGATGATAAAGGATGGCATCCAGGGCGCGAGTCTGGGTTCCAGCTCTTCTCCAAATTGCTCCCTCAAGAGAAGACGCTGCCGGACTCTGTTGTGACAACAGGCACATAGAAAAAGATCACAAATAACTGTTGCAAGACAGAGGGAGCCTCCCTGGGGCCTGCCTCACTATGCCTCTGGTCACTGGCGAGCCACCGCAAGCTTCCACTGCAGCCATGGGATGGGGTCTATGAGGCTACAGGAAAAGTCAGCTGCATCTACGTTACAAAGTTTAGACAAAGAGTGGAACATGTTTAGGAACTTCACAGTACCTTTGGCTCCGTGAGTTCCTCCCCCACCCCCAAAAAGGAAGGGACAAGGAAAGGGGAAAGAGACAAACGGCTGTCGTGATAGGCTTTGGAGCTGTTGGGATACCTGCTGTTGCGATGCCCGAAGTGCCCCCCAGGCCTCCTCGCTGCCGTTCCCGCTGCTGGCCCGAGCCATGCCTCCACCTACAGCCCCCTGAGGACCACAGCCTCCTCTACCGCCAGCCGCCCCGCCCCTGCCACCTCTGCTGCCACCGCCATGGTCCCTGCCCGGCCCATCTTCGCTGCCGCCACCATCACTACGCGGCCTGAGCTTCCATCCGGGGAGAACTCCACCAACTAGGACTCAGATTGCTCTGCCCTACCAATCAGCATCGTCCCTTGACGGACAGGCCAATAGGAACAGATAAGAGGTTTCTCCCTGTGACCAATCCACAGCAGCGCCTTCGCCGCTCTCCCAGACAACATGAGCTTGTACAGACAAAGAGTAGGGGAAGGTTCGACCCACGGCCCTGACTGACAGCGGCAATAGCCAATACAGACAGCAGAACAGGCTCTGGCATATCAACCAACAAACAGCCGCCCCGAAGACCAAGGTTACCGCTGATTGGCTTGCGCCATGTTTTCGGAATGACGCCAAATGCCGGCGACCGCCAGGTAATCCCGCCTGTAAGAGGCGGGGTCCCAAAAGTCGGTCCGACTCTGGCCGCGAACCAGCCCAGTTTCTTGCGGTGCTTTCCAAGCCCCAGGCATCGACGCAAGCTCCGACAGGGGCAAAATATGTGTATACCGGAGACTGGTCTGCCCACAACATCCCACTCCCCCAGTTCTGTACAAGCCAAAGCACCGGATGAAATTTAATAGGGTGGGGAAGACACTCAAGAGCGGGCATGGGACAGGGCGCAGAGTCCAGGTTAGGTAAGGGCCTTACGTAGCCAAAAGGGGGGATCCAGGACCCTCGGGTCCCCCCAGCCGCATCTGCAGGTTGATGCGGTAGCACTGAAGACTGCAGAGTGCCTGGCCGGTGCGAGAGCAAGCGTAGCGGCGCGGATGGGGACAGCCGGGGACAGAGCAGCGCGGAGGCGGGCCTAAGGGGGATGGCCGCTGAGACACCGCCGTGGGGGTGGGGACGCCAGGTGGGAAGGAAAGGGTGGAACCCTGTGCTCCGCTGCAGTAGCGCACCATGGGGGCCGGAGCCGCAGCCCGCCCTCCCCGCCGCTCGCCCCGTGCAGCTCCCCGGCCTCCCCGCCCACTGGTCGCCGCAGTCTTGGTGAGGCGCTCGATAGTCTGGTTCTTGTGCTCTTCTGCCCGCCGCGCCGCCTGGAGCCGCCGCTTACGCGCCCGCTCCTCGCGCTTCAGCAGCATCTCCTCTGTGAGAGCAGGAGCTGGACAGCCCTCAGCCACAGGCAGCGGCAGCATCGGGGAAGGCTGACTCCGCGCCTTCTGGAGCAGAGCTCGCTAGGGAGAGACAGAGACGGGGTGCTGTCTGAAAACGGAGGAGGATGGAGAGGCGAGGTCGGTCAGATCGGGGGAGGGGAAAGCAGGGACATGGAAGGCAGGGTCTTGAGCAGCGCAGGCCTTGGGAGACGGGATATTAATTAATAAGCACCCTCTCCAGGACACCCTCCATAGGTTCCTCTTCATAAATACTGCCTCATCCCAGATCTCCTGACATTCAGCTTTAGGTCCTTAACTCTCAAGGGGAGAAGCATCAATAATGTTGCCTGCCTGACCTGTGCACCAAAACTGTACCAGCTTTCCCAGAGGTCTGTTGTTTTTAATCTTATCTCAGTAGAGAGTATCAGTTGGATAACTGCTGAAGCCAAAATCCCAGGCTTAGCCTTGATATATTTTCTCTCCATTCCCCTCCCCACAAGTATCTACTTCCAAAATATAGCCATATTTCATATGATTTTCTCCATCTCCACCACTTTGGTCTTGGTTAAAGCAACCACTGCCTCTCGGCTGATTACTTCAACAGCTTCCTAGTTGGTCTCCATACTTCTATCTCTTGTCTCCACGGAGATTCATTCTCTACAAGGATGCCAGAGTAATCTATTGAAATGTAAACCAAGTTTGTCACTTCTCTGCGTACAGCCCTTCAGTGGCTTGTGCAGTTTTTCTTCTCCTTTACTCTGCTAGACATGTTCCAGTCTCAAGGTCTGTGCGCCTGTTGGTCTCTGCTGGAAAAGCTCCTCTGGTATTGCAAATGTTATCTCTTCAGAGAAGCCTTCTCTAACTACCCTAATGTCTCTCTTCTGTCATTTTCTATTTGTTTGTTTATGCCATTTCTATTTCATCACCCTATTCTTTTTGTCATAAACCATATAGCTTTTTGAAATTATTTATTTACTTATTTACTTCCCAGCCCCCCAACACACACACTAGAATACTAGCTCCAGGAGAACAGAAACTTTGTCTGTCTTTTCTCCACTATCGATATCCCCACTACCACGCAAAGTGCTTGGGTCGTGGAGAGTTCTCAATACAGTATACTTTGGTGAGTGAATAAACAATGACCAACATACCTGTCGAGCAGTAAGCAGCCGCTCATTGATCTCCTTCTTGAGGTCTCCATTATCATCCAGCTCCCCCTTCTCCAGGGCATCCAGCCACCTCTGTTCCTCCTCTTCCTCTTGACCCCCTAACCCTCCTGATAGGTCCCGAAGTGGAGAGGGAGAGAGATTACTGTCTTCATCTGGGAAGGAAGTTGGAGAAAGAAAAATAGAATTGTTCAGATGGTGCACCCTAATTTGGCTGAGTTAATACTGGGATATGGAAAATCCTAACCCATTTCAGAACCAACCTTCTTTCCTTAGGCGGGTATAATAAGAAACCCAGTTTCCCCACCTCCAGATCCTTCTCACCCAGCCAGGCACGGTACTGCTCAAGGGGGACTCCTTCCATAGGTTCCTCTTCATTATCCACAACCATAAGGGGAGAGGGTGAGCGAGGCCCCTCTGGGATCACAGTGAAGGTAGGAACACTGCAGAAAAGCAACACTACTCTTTAAAATGAGCAAGCGTCTCCTCCTCCTACGCAGTAGCTCCACCCAACTTTCCCCACCCTCTTAAGACTCTTGCTGCCTAAACCTGGACCCTGAAGTCACAGTGTCCATTCGGTCTTCTAGAAAGCCCAGTCGGCTTCTAACTACTTTCTCTGCTCCTAAAGTTCCCCTTATAAAACTTTGACCCTCTTGGCCTCACCTCTTGGTCCCCAGGACTTGTCCCCCAAGCTTGATTTTGAGTTTGAGCTGGGGCTTGGCAGGGGACGGCTGCGTGGGCCCGGCATCTTCTTCCTGATGGTGTTTCTTCTTGTGTTTCTTCTTGTGCTTCTTGTGTTTTTTCTTGTGCACTCCATGGCCATGGGCACCCGCTAGGCTCAACTCCAGGGCTTCTCCTGCGGAAGGAACGCCTGTCGACAGTGTTCGGCCGGAGGGTGGCAGGGGAAGCCCTGAATAACCTAAGCCCCTACCGATCCCACCCTTTCCGCAATACTCTCTTGTTACCATAACAACAGCACCGCCTTTCTCCTTCCCACCTGTGGCCGAAGTACCCTGAACTCTCCGAGGAGAAAGAACGGGACTTCTTTTCTAACACGGCCTAAATTGCTTGATCTATCCGCGCTTACCCGGCTCAGGGGCCTCCATAGCCCCAGAGGTGCTTCCACGCCGCCACAGCTTACTCATGAGGTCCTGCAAGGAAAGGGGACTAGAAATGGTTGGGACACACGCAGACATGCCTTTTCCGCCCCGCGGAAAAACTGGAGCCAGCAAAATAACCAGTTACTTCCCGTTCGTAGCAACCATCCTTGTGCGGGGCACGCTTCGCGTCCAAAATCGTCCCTGAGAAACAAGAATCCTTCCAACTAACGTTCCGGTCCCTCTGAGGTCGGGACCGCCCAGATGGGCAGGGCTTTCCCCTGGCTCCGCCTCCCCACACTAGATTTCAGAACTCAACGCGGGTGAATCAATTATTGAACTCGAGTTTGGTGAATGTATACGCCAGACCAAGTGCGGGAAGCTAGTCTAAGAGGATGCAAAGATGAATATGAACACCGCCCCTGTCCTTGAGGAACTCACAGTTGGGTGGAGGAATACATAAACTATACTGATGACAAAATGGCCGAAATGCTTAAACAGCACGAGTGCCCTAAGAGCAGAGCAAAGCACATGCTCTTAGGTATTTAGACTTCAATTTTCATAAGTAGGGGAATAAATAAATGAATTACGGTGCAGCTGTACAATGTGGAACACCATATTGCTAAGAAAAGTTGAGTGATAAGTAATTAATGAGATTGACACAGAATTTTTACAGTCTAAGTGTCCTAATGAACTTGGTATATCCATACAGTGGGATGTCAAGTAGCTTGGAAAAGAAATGAGGCGCGCCAGAAGGCTACCTAGGAAATTGGTAAGAGTCATTTGCTGATGAGCAGATGGAGAACAAGGGTGGATGGCCACCTATTTTTTATTATTATACCCTTTTGCGTCTTTTGAATTTTGTATAAAACGTGTATATTTTACCTCATTTTTAAAAAGATATAAAAACAGGTAGGTTTGTATGTGTTGATACATGAAATAAGAAAAGTGAATTCCCCATTCTGGCTAATATGGTGAAACCACGTCTCTACTAAAAATACAAAAAAAAAAAAAAATTAGCTGGCGTGGTGGCACGCGCCTGTAGACCCAGCTACTCTGGAGGCTGAGGCAGGAGAATCGCTTGAACTCAGGAGGTGGAGGTTGCAGTGAGCCAAGATCGCGCCACTGCACTCCAGCCTGGTGGACAGAGCAAGACTCCGTCTCAAAAAAAGAAAAAAAAAAAAAAGAGAAAAGAAAAGTAAATTTCAGGATTATGTGATCTGATTTTTAAAAGCATAATATACTAGCAAATACATAGAAAAAAATGAGGAATGTATACCTGTTAATATTGGTTAACTGTAGAAGTTGGGGTTTAGGAACTTTCACTATCTAGATCTGTAATGTATTTTCTTACAGCCAATATATATCACGTTTATAATTGGAAAAAAACACCTATATACATATATCTAAATATATATGAGTGTCTGAGCAAGGTAACAGCAGTGAAAAAAGAAAGAACTCATTCCTCTTGTCTCTTACATTTCAGTGATAAAATTACTAAGAATCAATGAGCAATTATATTGGGGGAATCCAGGATGAAGTCATGTAGTATGTGATTATGAAAAGGGATTTTGGAGTCAGACAAGCCTATTATCAAATCCCAGTTTCACCATTTATTAGCTATGCAACCTTGGGCTTAAAATTATTTAAGCTCTCTGAACCTCAGAATCCAACTCTGTAAGATGGAATACAGTAGGATCCACCCCATGAGGGCTCTTTCAAGGAATAGAGGAAATCAAGAACGCACGATACCTAGGGTATCAGCAGGCACAGGCACATAGTAGATGCTTCAGTAAGCAAGTAATAAGTGATTTATAGGTTTCTAGCCCAAGTATTTAGTGGGAAGATGGTATTTTCAGGCCGGGCGCGGTGGCTCAAGCCTGTAATCCCAGCACTTTGGGAGGCCGAGACGGGCGGATCACGAGGTCAGGAGATCAAGACCATCCTGGCTAACACGGTGAAACCCCGTCTCTACTAAAAAATACAAAAAACTAGCCGGCCGAGGTGGCGGGCGCCTGTAGTCCCAGCTACACAGGAGGCTGAGGCTGGA